CCCTGGGATTTGCGCGCAGATACGCACCCCGCAGGGGAGCGGCGAGCCCGGTGGGGCCACCCCGCACTCCACGCTCAGACCTGGGGGCCAACAACCTAAGGCTGTCCACTCCTTTTGACAAGAGAGATCCATGGGCCAGTTTTCAGTGAGTCTCGCCCCTTTCCCCCTTTCCTTGCCTTATCTTTCTTACTAATTTTTCAAAAATTCTGGGCCTGTATACTTTCATGGCCTGTCTGCTGTGATTATTAATCGACCCCAGCTGGGCCTGAAAGTCCAACTAATACACAAACCTCACACATTTCCCCCTTTACATTCAAATAAGTTCCTGCTATTCCCCATTAATGGACAATCACACTAGTATTACTGATGTCCCAAAAACCATGTCTAGTGCTCTAGAGACTTCAACTCACAATAATCTCAAAAGGACTATTACCATTACCATTACTATTACTACTGCTGTTGCTATTATTAGCCCCACTAAGGTACAGAAGGTTAAGTTGCCTAAGGCCATGCACCTAAGTGTAGTCTGAGGACTCAAACAGCGACTCCAGAGCCAGTGCTCTTGTCCCCTCCACTGCCCCCAATTCCGCAGAATTCTAGTGAGGTCTTGTGATGCTTATGGCACACTTACATAAAAAAATATATATATTGTTTATCTGAAATTCAAATTTAACTCAGCATCCCATATTTTTATGTATTAAATCTGACAAGTCTAGTTAGGAGGGAAAACAGAAGAAATGAAAAGAGAACTCTAAAATAAGTAAATGAAATTGGGTCCTTACATTTTATTTTTTAAAACATGTTTTTGTTGAGAGAGGAAGGGAGAGGGACAAAGGAGAGAGATAGAGACATCAATGAGAAATATCAATTGGCTGCCTGCTGCTGGGGGTCTAGCCGGCTCCCCAGGCATGTTCCCTGACCAGGAATGGAACTGTGACCTCGCGGTGCAAGGGTTAGCGCTCAACAACTGTGCCACACTAGCCGGGCTTGGGTCCTTACATTTTAATAAATAATATTGGGAGTTTATATCTGTCTCACTGGGGTTATGAAAATAATTTTGTTAGATCTGGCTAATTACACTCACCTAATAATTTTTTGCAAACTGACTTCCAGCGTTACCACTCTACTGAAAATAGCATCTGCAAGAGTACCACAGACCTTCCTTCTCCTGGAACTCCATAGCACGTGACACTGGTAACATCTTTCTTGAAATTCCATTCCTCTGAATAGTCTTGGGTTTCTTCCTTCCTCTCCAATCACTTGTAGCTCATACAGGGGGTCCCCCCAAAATGTATACACACTCTAACTGCTGGTAGCCCAATTTTAAAAATGAACTGTAGTTTAATAAGCACTGCCTTTATAATTATTCAAAGTGTGTGTATGCATTTTTTAGGACACCCTCTATTTTTCTCTTCCATCTCTTCCTGGGAACTGGCATTCCTGCAGGGTCTCTTCCCTCATTCCCTCCTCTCTCTGAAAGCAGGCCAGTTAGCAGAAAATCAGCTAGTTCAAAGGCAATTTGTCAATTAATTATTTGCAAATTTACAAAATTTAGAGATTGTAATGTTGTCTAACAATATTTAGCAGCCTTACCAAGAATAATTTAGCAGTATCAACAAAATAGCTATGAAATGTGTAAAGTGTATATGTCAACAACAATATCCCAAATAAAATTTCATGTGGGAATTTTTATATATAATTGGCTAATTTTAGTTCCTTTCTGATCTAAATTAATTCATTTCAAATTAAAGTTAGATTAAGTTAATCTAAATTAAATTTTGGATGCTTTCACTAAAAAGTAATTTAAATGCAATTTAATTCAAAATTCTGATTTTCTCAGATTCTTTTTGAATTTATAAATTAAAATAAAACATAATAGGCTATATGATTCTAAAATTAAAAATTATTTAGTATTAAAAAGTAGAAAATGTCATTAAAAATATTATGAAAGAAATCAGAAGTAGATGAAAAATCCTATCCTGTTAAAGCTTATAAATATTTGTTAAACTACAGTCATTTAATTTGCAAATTGGTCATTCAGTAAATTGATCATTTGGTTAATTATCTTTAGGAAAGTTGTTATTTCAGCAAATTAGCCTAAATTTCTTATAAAGAGAAGAACTGTAATTTGCATATATAGATTTTCATTCAACTCTTGTGGAATGAATGAGCATCTCTCTCTAAATAGTGCTTATTTATACAATATATCAATTTCCTGGAAGAGATCACATACCAGTGAGATTTTTAATTTTGAATTATTAACAGAAGTGTATGCGATAATGTGCAAATAATTATAACTAGATGGAAATTTATATAAACAAAAGGTCAACTTGGAACCAGAGAAAGTGGTTATGTAGTTTACATAATGATTTAAATTGTATTGACCTCACCCCTATGTACATAGCATCACAATTTATAATAGCTTCTAAGATCTGGAAACAGCCCAAGTGCCCATCAATAGATGACTGGCTAAAAAAAAACGGTGGTACATTTACACCATGGAATACTAAGCAGCAGTAAAAAAGAAGGATCTCTTACCCTTTGAGACAGTATGGAGGGACTTGGAAAGTATTATGCTAAGTGAAATAAGTCAGAGAAAGACAAGTATCACATGATCTCACTCATATGTAGAATCTAATGAGCAAACTAAACTGTTGAACAAAATAGATCCAGAAACATAGAAGCATGGAACAGATTGTTGAATATCAGAGGGAATGCGAGGGTGGGTGCGTGAGTGGGTCATTAGGAAGAGATCAACCAAAGAACTTGTATGCATATATGCATAACCCATGGAGACAGACAATAGGGTGGTGAAGGCCTGAGGCGGGGGCAGGGGAGAGCTATAAGGGGTCAATGGGAGAAAAAGGGGGACATATGTAATACTTTCAACAATGAAGACTTAGAAATAAATAAATAAATAAATAAATAAATAAATAAATAGTACTGACCTTCAGAGTCTTAAAAACTGTGACATTTATCATGGAACATGGAAATGGGGAAACATGAGGGGATAATCCTGGTCACTAAACCCCATGTTTCTTTTGTAAGTTAAAAAAATAATAATAATCTAGCTCTAACAAAGCCTTGCCTGTAGGGCCACCAGCTTCGCGGACATGTGACCTGTGTAGTCTCCTAGGACCCCATGCCTGTTTCAATG